ACGGATTATTTTCCACCGTGTTTTAAAAGAGAGGAAAAGTTGAATAAATGGATATTTCAAATCCATTTCATAAATACAACTAATTTTCAAAGGAAACAGCATATCAATATCTTCCTTTATAATTAGAATGAAACACATGACACACTATTCGAAAAATAAATCAGTAAAAATAGGTAAGTGACAATTTATTTAATTTCTATTTTACAATATCTAACAAATACAGTGAAACTACAGCAAAATAGATGATATTCGCACTGTAAGTTATGTGAAAAATTGTTAATTGGCTGACACCTAATACGGTTAACCAATCATAATTTCATCCGCATTTAATTATGTATCGAAGTACTTCTATTCTAATGCATTTTTATATATTTCTCAAACAATACTTAGAGAATCCCTTTATTACATTTAAGCTAAGTATGCGAAATTTTGTGTAATTATTGCGTTTTATAATCAAAATAATTGTTACAAGTTACTTATTTATTAATTCATTTTTTGACATAGGGTGTTCAAAAATACTTGTTTCCTTTCGTAATTTATTGACTATTTTCCGTTGACTAACACAACGAATTCGTTTACAAAAACGCTATTTTCCGTTTGTAATTTACTGTCGGTCCCTCAAACTTCTAAAAGCTTTTAACTTCATTGATATGTATGAGAAATAGCATGATCTAAACTCTTCTGTAGTTATAAAATGGGTTTTTAAGCATTTCTTGAGAAATTGGGGAAAAAAATGTGTTCGTTTGGAAGAGTTTCCATTATTTTCTACACACAATAACAGTGTACTTATCTAGAAAGTTATTTAGACGGCATTAACTGCATGTTATAAATGCTCGCCAAGTTTCAGTCTTATATTTTTCATAGTTTATAATACTCTGGCCAACACCAGAACGTAAAAATTGTTTTCTCCCTGTCAAAATATTTCACCCACCCGAAATAATAATATAACTTCTTGTATTTGCAGAAAGGTATGTCTTTTTATAGACACCGCTTTCCTTTCGCAGAAGAACATAAAACAACTTATGCGGAAGTAAAAATATGATATTACCTCAGTCTGTAAAATCAATTCTAGAAGTCTATATTTTCAAGTATTGAAGATATATGATGTCTGAAATTACTGTTATAATATTTTTATTATGGAATAAAGTAATAAAACCCTGCAATAAATAGTACTTTTGCTACGTATAAGCTTTTTTAAAATATATTTTTTAATATTTTGTTTGTTTATTTACTTTTTTTGAAAGTAAAAATCGTTGCATATAGTAAAATAATGAATTTATTTTACAGTTAGTGTGTCTGCCCATATTTCGATATTAAGGTTTTTCACTGTTTGTAGCTACATAGCTATGTCATTGTAACGTTTGCAGTATGGTGCACTTCGATGCACAAAGTTCTTTTTATCAGATCTCTGTATATGAATAATTTTATTCAAAATTGTTGCCTAACTGTTAACGTTAGCTTATACCGATACTGTAGGGAGTTGCACCCATGTTCATGAAGTCGTGAGTTCGATTCACGTCTGCTGAGGAATCCCGATATAGTAAAAGTCGACTGGTGCAATTTAAATCTGTCGGGTCACAAAGTGCTTCCCGTTCCCGTAACAAATCAATACCTCTGGGGGTACTGAATTGGAGATTAATCGTTCTCTGGTTCAGGTCACAATTACGATATGTGGATTAATGGATGTATGAATGGGTTTACCCTATAAACGGGATATGACGTGTGCGTGTGGCTGAATTCGTGTTCTTGACCAGAAAAAGGGCTACTGAAAAACAAGATACGCACCCTAAGCCTTGTTAGTATTGGCGAGTGCCATTGGAAACAACAACAACAATTATCTTGAATCTTTATGTAAGTAGTTAAATTAGTAATAAATTAAATAAATTAATAAATACAAAAAATAAATTAATTATTTTGATATTAAAATTAGCAATAAAATAATAAATTAGATAGATTATAAAGAAAGAATATATGTGTTTTCTGAATAAGTGTTTTCTGAGAAAAAAAAATAGATTAGAATATATTTGTATGATTAAAAAAGAAAATTTGATTCCACAGCTAATTGTTACTGAAAAAAAGATAACAAGGATGTTTTTACTGAGAAAAATATATTAGAGCAGCAAATTTGCACTTGAGTATCACTAAACAGGCTAGGAAATATGTGGAGCATATCAATGGCATGACAGACGCAGCGAGTTCATAAATCAATTTATAAATAAGCTGATTGTCGTGCAAGTTTTATATTTTTCTTTTTAAAAACTTCATGTGTTAAAACAATGTAAAAATTAAAAATAACAATTTTTTAACATTAATAATAAAAATAATAAATCATTTAAAAAATTAAATTTTACATGAAATTATCTTCGGATAAATGAATTTTCGTGAAAAAAATATAATCACTGAAAAAGTCCCCGATTTATAGCAAAATACGTAAAATGTAAAATTAATAAAAGGAGAACAAAACTTTCAACTACTCTCTTGTCTAAACTTTTGGTACCATAATTTTCAGACAGTGCCCCCCCTCGTCCAATATTTTGAGGGTCAAGAATCAGCATCAGTCGGAAAAAGGTATGTTTATTCAGATAAAGTACGTTTTTGCACCTGATTTCGAAACATGAAATAACGTTTCTTTTAATTAAATAACATATTCAAAGCTAGGCTCTCGCATTATTAAGATTATATTCCAGTAATTAAAGATCCAATCATTAGATCAAAAGTCGGTTAGGATGTGCAACTTCTAATTGTACGTACTTGACATAAGATACAACAATATCATAGGTTTTAAATTAAAATTATTTTGTGAATGAATATTGCATGGATGAAACTATATTGAATGGGTGTTATGATATTCGATTATCTTAATTTCGATCTTATAATTTCGATGTCAAATAGATGCCAAAGTCATCCAAAAAGCGGCGCTTCCTTTGTAAAGTTCCTGTTCCGCGTATTTCTCGTGCTTTACACTCATCAAACCTTCTCAATCCAATAGACAGATAGTTAAGTTTCTCATTTGCTGCGATGAATTTTGCAAGTTTAGGGCGATAAAATTATTCAAATACGTTCGTATAGCAGCTGATCTGGTATGCTAATAAACTCGGACTAGACAGAGAAGCTGGACTAGGTAAGGAGAAGCTGTACTGGATCTAATTAATAAATCCATGCCCTATTGGGATTAGGTTCGGTCTAAATTGCAGCTGAGACATGCCAATTCTTGCCCTTGCGCATTTATTAAACATGCCGGCACAGCAGATTAAAACGGAATTTCAAACAGACTAATCATTCTGCGAAATATGCTGTGTAAGGTTTATGATCATTTAATTCCTACGAAGGTTATCCTTGAGATGATTATGCTTCAAGAATTGACCATCTTGTTAAGTTTTCTGTCGCTCAAATCATGATACCTCTTGAATTAATAAGCTTTGAAGTAAATGTACTTAGAATGATTACTACGTGTTGATTTCTTTGAACACAGTAAGTAATTACGCATATTTTACTACACAAGAAAATAAATTACATTGGAAATATAAACCCGAGATTTATATAATGGAAAAAATTAAAATATTTACTTAGAAATAAGTAGCGTAAAGCAAAGTGAAATCATAAAGGCAATAAAATATTTTTTTATTTGAGAAAACAATTCATAAAAGTTAACTAACTGCTTACAGTTACTTTTAGTTATAACATAAAAATGATTTTGCATATCGTAATGCATTTTTCATATTGTATTTAATATTTCGACGTGAAAAAAAAAGAATCCACTGAATTCAAATAGTTATTCATTTGACATAAGGCTGTCAAAAAGTTTCTTGAGTCAAAAACACCCGACGAAAAAAGGGTAAATCTTATTAAAGTTTTAAATAGGCAATCGCTTTTTGAAGACAAGGAAACATAAAAAATAGTCTTAAGATGTTATTTAAGAGATAAAAATGTAGTAAACTTTGACAATATTTTGGGTGTTTTGTTTTAATGGATTAAATAATGTAAAACTTTTCATTGCAGCGTTATAAAGATACCAAGACACTCAAATTTGAAACGTCATGAGGTTTTTTACAGCCTAAAAAACATCGATTAATTATGTTTCGGTTTCGGATAGTAAAATAAATCATTTCAATTAGGGCGCAGATTAAGCTTACACTGCAAAGAACTCTAGATTAAATAACAGTGTATTGGCTCGTTAAAGGCATTTTCCGTAAAATCCATTATATCGTAAAATGTTATACAGTGATTTTTACAGAGATTCAGTGATTTTACGGTAATTATTACTGCAAAGTTTGAGGTAGATCAGATTGGTTGTTTTGTGTCATGTTCCGGTAAAACTAGTTTCTATGATAAAGAGTATCGGCACCCTAAGTGTCCGTGCATTTTACAATAATTAAAATCGGAATGTTTTACAGTATAGGTTTTGCTTTTCCCTACTATTTGCCACCAAATTATACAGCTACTATTTTTTTTTTCATTCTAATATTTTGCATGCTTTTTCCAACTTTAAAAAAATAGATCACTGAACCCAATAAAGAATAACGCATGAGATTTAGATTATATATTCCATTGGTTCTTATAAAATTTGTGAACCATTTTTAAATTTTATGATACATACTTTGTTATATTATCAAAGAATATGAATTTTTGATCTTAGAATTTATTTTTTACACTGACAATTAAAGAACGCAACTAAAATGCAGATACTCGCTTATTTTCTTTAAAATACTGACTAAAAATTCTAATTCTATGTCATCAGATATTTTAAACAACATTTTCTTATTAAATTATATTTTCGTATTTAAAACAAATAATTCATATTAAATGTTAAAACATTTTTATATACGTTTCTTAGAGTTCAGTAGTTTTACAAAATCTCAAAACTGCATGCATTTAAAAAAATATATATGTGTTCCAGACCTTATAAAGTAAACAGAATTAAATGTTTAATAGTTTTAACAAATCTTTTGATCCTAATATACATCCACTTGCTCATTCTAATATCCATTTAATTACTTTAGTTTCAAGATGGAGGTCGATGGAAAGTGCTAAGCCTTAAAGAGACGTAGAGAAGAACTATGCTTTTTAAAGTCTGTATAATTGGAAAAGTGCTAGATTCATCATTTGGTTTTCTCAGTGTTTTCCTTGTTCTAATATTTCACAAGTAAGTAATTGCAACACTTAAAATAAATTACTTTTCAACAATCTTTAAATTTTCGAGTTCATGTTTTCATTATTGTTTACCTGGGATTTCAAAGTAACTGTTTCGTTTACACTGAAATCTCTAACATGTTTATTTTAATTTTTGAAACATATTTCAAATAATAAGTAAAAACTATGAAACGTTATAGCCGAAGAGTAAGAACTGATAAAGTTTACTCTGCAATCCCTGAAGCGTAATTCAGATTTAGTTTAATTTTTCAAACATATTTTAAATAAATAATTAAAATTATGAAATTGGCGTTTAGTGATAGAATAGTACACTATGGTAAAAATAGGCAACCGAAGGGTAAAAGTTTAAACTGCAATCCCAGAAGCGTAATTCACTTTTATTTTAATTCTTGAAACATACTTTAAAAACATAATAATAACTTTTTATTTTACTTCCTATGAGCTGCACAATCACTCTTCCCGATGAGCAGACCTAGTGCGTTCTCCAGAAGTGGTATCCACTCTTTCAGGACCACCACAATGAGTGAGATACTGTTGTCCATGTTAATTTGGACGTCTAGTTTCTGCCACACTAGATGGCAGCACCGCAACTCTATTTGGATGCTAAAGTTCACTCGGAATTTAATTTTTCCAGAAATGCCAAGAGCCAATAAGGCATTCGAGGGATCTTTCAAATGCCGCATAATCATACGACATGGTCGCTGAGGAATTTTTGCATCCCGAAAATCCGGTGTCTGGTCGGGGGATCGAATCCGCAGATTTAAGTTCAGAAGGCCGACGACAAACCAACTGCTCCACCCAGCCACATAATTAAAACTATGAAACTGGAGTTTAGAGGTAGAATATTATACTATGATACAAATATGCAACTGAAGAGTAAAATTGATTAAAAAAATTAATGAAACACATAAAAATATCTCCGACTATTTTTTAAAATTTTAACCAATTACAATTAATTTTTCCTAACATTACGATAAGCGTTGCATTTTCATTTTTGTTTGGTTGACCGAAAAAGGTTGACAAAATAATCCTTTTTTTAGATATCGGTTTAAAATGGTTGTTTCTAAAAGCTTAATGCAAACCTCATAGCGCATAAACTAGCTTAGTTGCATTTAACATTATTTCAAGCTTGCATGGTTCATTTGCCAATCATTTGTAAGCCATGTTGGACATTGGGATAAATGTTGTTGTTGACATTAAAATTACTTTACTTTGCTATATGGGTATAATTTTTTATTTATATTTGAATATCTCTGAATCGTACTTCCTTTGGCAAATGATATATAGATATTTTAAATTTAAATATGTATAATGTTTAACATTATACATATTTAAATTAAATTTATTTGTTATATATATTATATATTATATATTTTATTATATCAACAATTTTACATATTTTTTTACATTTCTTTTAAATTTCTTCCAAGCAATTCAAAACATTTTAAAACCAAACCGACTAACGCCCAAAATATACTTTTGAAGTGATAATTGAAAGACACATCATTTGAAATAATGGATTGATGGCGAATTAAATCGCTGAAAGTTTAAGTCATCAATCATTGTAACTTAGGGGCTTATTTTATGTACGTTTCTACAAAAGGGATATCTTCATCAACGCAATGACTCTTGATATCGATTGACATCAAACATGGTTTAAGAGTTTATATAATTATATCAATTAAGTCACGTAATAAATCAAATAAGTCACGTAATAAATCAAATAAGTCAAGTTTTAAATTGAAACACTTAACAAACACTGCTACTTGAATTATTAACCCTTTGTTTACGATGCATCATCTGTACCGTAACAAGTGGTCCACATGTTAATAAGGGGTGTTATCAGTAGTTAATAAATATAATGCTATAATAGAAATACAGGTAGATTGAAACATATATCAATTTAAATCAGCACAAAGTTGAGAGCAGTGAAAGAAAAATACAAAGGAAGGTTAAACAAAATAAAAATGAATTTGTTTCTTTATAAATAATATCAAATGTGAATGTCATTGCTTGATTTCATAGGGATTTTGCTAGATTTCATATGGATCGTTATTTAGACAATATCAAACACTGACCTGCTATCTTTTGAATTGTTTCTCTATTCTCGTTTCTGATTTGCTTAGAGCTTGATTAGGTTTTTCTTATTTTTTATTCCTAGTTTGGCATTTTTTTATCCAGTTTTTAATAATATTTTAAATTTCTATGCTAAGAGCGAATAATACCCAGTATTGACAGTTCTAAATATCGAAAATCCTTAATAAGATATGCATTTAAAAAAAATAAATTAGGATAGAGCATCGGTGACACATTTTCTTTTTCCTAGTTGATTATGTACTTTTTATTTTATCAAATATCTTTGAAAGATTTTAAAGACAACCAATTTAGTTTGAATATAAATTATATTTTCTTTTTTTTTCAGAAGTTTTTCCTTAAGTGATGATAGAGTTCTTCGTTTTATTGACATTTTACCATCTGATTCTAGATCGTATGACAAGATGAGACCACCAAAGGCTGACGGTTTGTACTATAAACTTAATCAATATTTATGGAAGATATTTTATATAAGATATATTATTTAGAGCCGGTATCAGAAAATTTACTCGTTATTTGTCATAAATTATTAGCGATTTAAAAAATCCTCTATAGAAATAAAAAAAAAAAGTTAAGACTGTTGAAGGTGGGACTGAAAACTTCAAATTCTAATTAAATTGCTTAGGAGAAAGGCTTGAGGTAAGATCAATTAACTAGAACTTCTTATCACGCAATTTAGTTGGTTTTAAAATTTCCATTTCGTCTTACTCACCGGTGATTAGATAAGGTAGATTATTTCAAAAGCACATTTACTTGTTCTCCTTTAAATGTTAAGACTTTAAATATGCTGAACTTTTTATACTTCACTTTTATAAGTAGGGGAGAGTGGGGTCAATTGTAACAGGGTATGATTGTAACAGAGCAAAAATTTCGAGTGTCTGGTTCTAGATTTGGTTCCTAGGTGGAGCACAAGGCGTATTTAATAAATCTACATGTACAACCCTGCTGGCAACCATTTTTATGTACTTTTGAAAGAGTTACGTCAAAAAAGATATTTTCACGCTACGTAAGTACTTTTTTTGGTATTAGAATATTATATTGTAACAAACAAATTTTGTTTAAACAAATAAAAATTATTCACCGAGTATGTAAGTGGACACTTTAATTAACATTTAAGAAAAAAAAAGATAAGTTTTGTTAATTAACTAACATTGTTCTTAACAAATGAAGCTGAATTGGTGTCTTGGGGACGAGTGTAACAATAAGTAAAGGGACGATTGTAACAGCTGAAAATAAATAATTTTATGTTTACAAACCATTATTTAACTCTTTAAGAACTACCATTAGTTTCCTATATCACTTATATTATGTTGCATGTGCATTATTTTGTTTGTCCCCTTTCACAGCATAAATTAAAATTTTAAATCCCTTAAAGTTAAAAGTTTAACCCTTTAAGTCTCTGCTCATTATCATTTTTACTCCTAAAATATCACTACTATTTTGATCAATAAAAAAATATATCACAACTATGATAATATGTATAATTAACTATGTTTTAGTTGAATTTATGAACTGTTACAATTGACCCCGTAAGTGGGGACAATTGTAACAAGTGCACGACTGTCAAAAATTGTTAATAACTAATATAATAATATTTAAAATCAGGTATTTATTTTTTTTCTAGTAGAGGATAGTCTACTTTACTCGTCTGTCAATTAATACTAATAATATATTGGATTTTTTGTTAGTTAAAAATAGTTAAGTAAAAAATGTTACAATTGACCACACTCTCCCCTAACATTTAAAAATACATTTTAAATGCTGTCATCATGCAATTTTCCCGTATAGTTTTTTATATAGGAGGAAATTTTTGTTTTTGAATTTAAAGTTGCTAAATTAAAAATTGCGAATGGCCTGAAACAATTGAATATTTTAGATGGATTTTCCAAATTGTCAAAAATTAGCTTCTTAAAACTCACCGTTCATCAGTACAAAACATAAGATTAAGAACCACTAGAGTAAATGTATTTTCTCATCACTATCATACAATTATTTATTTTTGTTTTCCAGGTCTTCCAACTACTGTTCAATATCACGTGACTGTAATGGGATTAGATTCTATAAACGAAGAGTCCATGGTAAATATTGTCATTTATAATTATAACAGCGCTTGAAAAATCTGACATTTTTACATGTTCTTTTGGGTATGTTGAACTTCAGAATGCATGCCGAATGAAATTTTTAAGACGTTCAAGCAAAATTTTTAATGGAGGGTAACATAGGAAATTTACTATAATTAATCTGTCGAAAAAAAATCTTAACAACATTACATCAGCACTTCATAACGACAACATCAATTGTTGATGTTGTCATTATGGAGTAAGGGACTCATTATGAAGTAAGGGAAGGGGGCAGCTCAACCGCCGACTTAGAAACCCGGACCATGCCTTGGTCTTTCGATCAGAGTTAATTGCCATAAATGAGGCCTTGAGCCTAGCCACGGATTCTGGCGTACCTGACATATGGGCATTAACGGATAGCAAGAGTTCAATTCAGTATTTGAAGAACTGCCCAAGTATCTGGGAAAATTTGGCGTTTTTATTTCATAAAGCAATTTAGGAAATTAAGTACAAACTGCACATGCTGGGCAATTTCCCTCTTTATCTTCTCCATTGCAGCTTTCGTAGACTCAAAAAAATCATGTATCACTATTTAACGCAGAATTTTCCATATTTTGATACTTAGGAAATTGCAATGACATAGAACTAAATTACCAGGACTAATTTTTGTCAGAAAATCCCATATCTTTCATGTAAGGAAATTACAACTGCAATGAAATGAATTACAGAGATTCATTTCTGTCAATAACCCCCATGTATTTTGCTTTATGGAAGTACAGTAATGTAGAAAAAAATAACAAGTATTCATTCCTTTCAGTAATTCCCATGTCTTCCGAGAAATGTAATTGCATCGATACGGAAAGTGGTTAAATGGTTTCATTTTTATCAAAATTCCAGATGTACTTTGAATAAAGAAATTACAATGATACAGATGCAAATAGAAAGAGAAATAATCATTTCCATCTGAACCCCCATGACTACTAGAAAATTACAATGCTACTGAAATGAACTAAGATTCCTTCATGATAGTAATCTCTATGCATTCAGAGTAAGGTCACTGCAAAAACGGAAAGGAATTATTTAATTTAATTTTTGTCAGGAGTCCCATGTTTTCTGAGTAGGAAAATTACAACTGTACCGAAAAGAAATGTAAGGATACAGAAATGCACGGACATGAATTTGCAATATTTCCAAATTAAATTTGTGTAAAAGTGAAAATTACCGCCTAAAACATACAACCATAAATGGCTTGTTTCTGTCAATAAGGAGAGATTGAAACGAATGCGTTAAATTATCTACTTAATGACATAGTTAGCATCTAATTTTTATTTAACATCAACTGTCTTTTCATGCTGTAACCCTTAAATCTTCAATAATATCAAAGTTTTGAATTCAAACCTCTGAATGAGTGCTGTAATTATTATTTTCAGTAGTTAAAAATAAATAACTTAAAGAGGAAATTTAGCAAAATGAAAAGTAAGAAATATTTCCTATTTTCTATTACATAAGTTACCTTAACAAAAATTATTTTCCAATTCTAAAACTCTATTTGAGACTATATAAAACTAAATGCATGCATTTGTCATTTTTATGACATAAATAAGACAAACATTTCTTAACACAAGCACTTTTTTTTATATATTATCTAATACTATCTTTCCACATTGAATTATATAAAGCTTTTTACTGTTTCGTTTTCTTTGTCCGATTGAATATTTTGTGAACAGACTTTTTAAGAAAATTCTTTCGGCAAATATAAATTCCCGACAAACGCAATCTTATTTTTAAAGTAAACTTTTCCAAGTTTTCTTTTTCTTTGCGTGACTAATAAAATCTTGAAAGCTCAACATTTGTTCGTTCTTTTTAAATCTGAATATACGATAAACGTTAATAACGTCTTTTAAATCAATGCAAGTGAATAAAAATGATGTTAACTAGTCGGGAAAAATGGTATCAAGTATTATAGATTTTTTTAGTACTTCCAAAATTGCATAAAATCTAATAGGCATAGTGTGCAAAAAATAAATGAACCACCCTGAATAACTTTAAATCCAATGATCAGATCTTCACATTCTAGATCTTAATGATTCGAGGGGGTGACTTTAAATATGCTAATTAATTAGCGCAGACAATATTTTAAGTTGCAAAATCAGCCAAAAAAACGCACTTTTTCTGAATAAACATTTTTTTTTCCGAAGGATTCTGGTTTTTTACCCAGGAAATAAAGGGATTAGCCGAAATCGGGGAAATATTGTCCCAATAGTCTGACGGCGGACACCTTATTATGAATTTTACTTTTTACGTATTTCGTTATTATTTTGAAACTTTTTAAGCGAACTGAAACATTTTTACACGCAAATATAGAATTCGTCTAACCAAAGTTAATTCTAAGTAAAATAACTTTTCCTAAACATTTTTATTTTTTTTTTTTATTATTTAGTTAATAATAGTGTATAAAATTTGAAATACAACTTATGCAATTTTTTTTAATATTATTTTAAAGATTTAATTTTATCCGGCAAAATTTAAAATTTGAGTGCAATCTGTCAAATGTTTCCTGAGAGATTGAATTTTAATGACGTTGTATATTTTAAATTCGATTAACATTACGATTGAGTCCTAAAACGTGAAGCTCCAATTATTAGGATCGTTTTCCGACTCTCATTAGATCAAAAGATATTCATGTTGGTCAGTTTTATAATTTTCGCTCTGTACACAAAATAGAGAAGGAGATTGAAAATCTATCAATGCTAGTGATATAAAAATAATTGGGGATATTGTGGTGTGAACGTTGGAAATCGAATCCCCGTTCAGGCGACCACAGGATTGACAAATTATCCCTCTTAGCTAAAATATGTATACAATTGCAGGGAACTACGCGGTTTAACAAGTTGTTCATAAAACAATTATTTCATTTCACCTTTGCATTTGGCATCTGATGATGATAAATTTAAAAAAAAAATATATACATACACTCGCTTTTTTTTATGAAATCTTTTTATTATGGCTCAGTTTCCAACTTTCAAAGAATTAAGGAGCTCGACTTTTATTGGTTGTAGGCCTAGTTGAAAATTTTGCTTGCGTATCAAGTGAAAACAATCAATAAACAAATTTTTTTGAATTTGAATACTATTTGGCTGTACTAGTTGAATATTGGTTGTAGGCCTAGTTAAAAATTTTGCTTGCGTATCAAGTGAAAACAATCAATAAACAAATTTTTTTGAATTTCAATACTATTTGGCTGTACTAGTTGAATATTGGTTGTAGGCCTAGTTGAAGACTTTGCTTGCGTATCAAGTGAAAACAATCAATAAACAAATTTTTTGGAATTTGAATACTATTTGGCTGTACTAGTTGAATATTTGGCTGCTTTGCAAACAGTTTGATTACTATCTTTATTATGGTAATTTGACTGTTTTTTTAGTATGGTAGAATAAAAATTGGATAAATTGTTATTAAAAATTTTTTACCCAGAAATTTCTAATTGTGTCTCTCAGAAAAGTTGAATTCGTAAAATGAATAAGTATTATATGCCATCGTTCTGATACCAGTATGTACATAAGAGAAGGAACTCATAAGAAATTGATTAATATTCGATCCGTTATGCTCTGTTTAATAATTAATATTAATAATAGTTCTTAATTAAGTTCTTAATTAATAATAATTAAGAACTCTTCAAGAATCGCTATAATTCATACTGCAGAAAATGAGTCTAAGTAATGAATATCTTCTAAAAGTGGTCAGTGCGAGCTGAGTACATGATTCGAATCAACCAGCCATTTCTGGAATTCGATCCCGGTCCACCTCATCGACAAGCGAACGCTCTATCCCCTGAGCCACCACGGCTTATGAACACAGCATTTAAAATAGCGGCAAACTCTCTTCAGATTGCAAAAATAAACTTTCTTGAGATTTTTACTTTTAAATCATGCCGGTATTGGCACTTTTGGAAGTGAAATAATTCTTCATTGGTGAGATATCGCGAGAATTCGGTATAACTTTTTTTAAAGAGTTTAGATTTAAATTACACCCTTTAAGTCGAATATGAATGCTCGATTCCCGGAATTAAATGTTTCTTTACACAATTTTCTGGGTTTTTCAACATATTTTTGGATTCTGAGAGATATTACACCACAGTTTTTACAGTGCATAGACTTAAACCCTCCAAACGCTAAGGCTTTAGATAAAAGTGTGCAGATGTTTTCCTGTTGCACATTATTTTTGTATTTAATAACAGGGAGAAATCGAGTTTTTGACTCAAGAAAGTCTGCATCTCAATGTTCAGTAAAAGCCGGGACTAACACTCAGACAATTAAGAGATGTAGTGAAGCCTAATCTCTAATAAATGATAAGCCTTATACCATACACTCAAACTAAAAAAACTTTTACTCCATTAAGGAATTATTTTCTCAAATCTTGGCGTTAATTTTTTAAGAAGTCAAACGATCACTATATTCTGTTTATAATCGAGATGGTTCTAGTTTGATTTCGTCTGACACGATGCTCAAAATTACACAGAAGTGAATTTTTGAAATAAGTCATGTATGATTTTAGTTGTATAAAAAAGATAATTTTGCTCTAGTATGAAGATATACATAAATCTGTCAATTACATTAAATGATTTTACGATATTTAATTTCTATCCACTTTTGTTAAGTCTTGTTCGAATTCATATTAATATTCTTTTTATGCAGTGCGTATGTTTGATTAACAAACTAATTTTATTTTAAGAAATAATAAATACTTATACCCTAAATTGATAACTCTTGCTTTATATTGTAATGCAAAAATAATTTTACTGACTCTTATGTGCATCATATCTAATTGCAATTAGAAATGATAGTGTTACTGAGCAATAAAAATGGTGGATGCCACTTAGCACCAAAATGGAAGAAAAAAAACATTCTTGATGTAGTGAGACAGTTAAATACAAAAGTTACGTATGCCATTTCAGTACACTACCTTTGTTTAAAGTTGTTGGTTCCATTTTTAATGTAGAGTAACGCTATCATTTTTAACAGTGTAATAATACAAAACATCCAATTGAGCCATAGTGTCAGATGCAAAGGGGATATAGAGTTTACCTGCTAATGAGGCGTCTCAGGTTCAAATCATATCCGTGATTGGTTAATACGAACTCTGCTCCCACGGTGCTGACGTAAAATATACTCTGCGTTAGACGAATCATGAGTTTAAATCCCCTTGTCGTCGTGCTAATTACGGAAGGTTTTCGCTAGTTTTTTCTTCATGTAACGCAAATGCGGGTTAGTCTCTGATGATCCAATACTTGGGTTAGTACCACTGATTGATCAAAGAGCTCTTTTGTCTTCTGAATTGGGTTCAAAATTACTAGGTAACGGAGTTGAACATTGTCGTTTCTAACTCAAAATCGGATCAACTGCTCAACGCCGGTTATGAAATAAAACAAAACGTCCAGGTGAAAAACAACGTGAACTTCTGGCTATGCATTATAAAAATAAACAACATTATGAATTTATAAATAAACATGCTATAGTTTTGATTCGTTTATAAATATCCTTCATCAATGTATAAACGCAAAATGACAAAAATGAAGGGGAAAGGAATATTACGAACTCAATTTCGAGCAGGTGAATGATGGTTGACCAATAGGGACGTGAGAACAGTCTTGAACATTAATCATTTTTTTAACATAAAACTTATCCCGTTCGAGCTTGTTCCAAATTATCTATTAATCAGCAACCCATTTTTGTAGCATATTTGTATTATGATTTTCTTTTGCACTTTTGTGTATCTGTCATTTTAAGAACTTAGAGGGGAAAAAAAGTACAGTATGCTTGTTTCCTAGTTATTAATTATTGAGATATAATCATGTTCTTAGATTTATGCAAAAGAGCAAAACGCTTAACTTGCACCACAGATTACACCGGGGAACAAATAATTTGTCTCATATGCATACATAAATGCATAATACAATGTTACATAAATCAACTGTATATCTGTCATTCTGAGTTGGATTACCGTTACAGGTTCTTTATCCAGGAAAAAAAAAGCATAGTATATTTTGTATGAGCTATTATTTGGGATATCATCGTATTCTTAACTTTATGCAAAAGAGCAAAACGTTGAGCTTACACCTCAAAATGACACTGGAGAACCAATAATTTGCTGCATATCTAATCATGTTGCATGCATAAATGCATAATGTAATGTTGTATATATAATCTCCTTATCTGTCATTTTGAGTTGGATTACCGATGCAGGTTCTTCATCCCAGAAAAAAAAAGAGTACAGTACGTTTCAGTGTGAATTATTATTTAGGATATAATCATCGTTCTTAACTTTATGCAAAGGAGCAAAATTTTTAACTTGCAATTCAAATAGCACTGGAGAACAAATAATTTATTGAATACATAATGTTGAATGCATAAATGCATTGTTGCATAAATAATCTGTATATCTGTTATTTTGAGTTGGGTTACCGATCCAGGTTCTTCGTCCCAGAAAAAAAATTACAGTTTGTTTGTTTGTGAGTTATAACTTGAACTAAAATCACTTTCTTAACTTTCTACTAAGGATCAAGGCGCTTAACCTGCACTGGAGAACGAATAATTTGCTGTATTTGTGCAGGTGCATGATTGTGTCGATTTGATTGCATGATTGCGTCATGTTGTCGATTTCGAGTGTGGGGTTTTCAAATATGAATTCAGTTTTGCTCAGAAAGCTAAACTTTCAAATAACATATTTAGACTATATTTAAGAACGTTATAAATGACAAGGGACTGGGAGCTGTTGCGACTAACTTCTATAGTAATTAGGTCACATCATCAGGATCAAAATTGCTCAGAAACTCATCATGCCCGTAAATGTCGACGTACGCTTCCCTATTGTGACCTGTTCAGAAGCACCCGAAAAAACTGCTCATAACAGAGAAGCACCTCTAGCGGCGTATGACAACAATTCCAGGCACGGATTTCGATGCAGTTTTAACTCTATTTATGTGCCCTAACTCTTCTAGAAGTTTATCACAACATTTATGCAATTCCTTGTTATAAATAACGTTTTTAAACTATTTCATTTTGACAAAAAAAAAAGATTAAAAACGTCCTTTTAAAAACCTGTGTAGCCAAGAGGTAGAAGTCGAATACAGATTTGAAATCATTGATACAAGAGTATCTATGGTCTGTTAAAAAATCTAATACAACAGGAAACAAAAATAAAATATGCTCCAAAGTTAAATCTTATACTCTTTGAATATTTTTCTATTCTGTTCTATTTTATTCTATTCTATTCTACGTAGAATAATATTCTATTCTACGCTTTGAATAGTATTCTATTTTAACCCCCAATGAAGAGTAGGAAGGAAACTCTGCTCTACATTACTTTTAAAATTTTATTTCGGTCTCAAAAGTGTTTTTTTTTCTTTACTTTTTTTTAGACGTATGCTGCAGATATATTTTTTGCTCAATCGTGGAAAGACCCCCGCCTTCGTTTACCAGAAAACATGACTTCAGATTACAGGCTGTTAGAAGTCACCTGGTTGCACCATATATGGAAACCAGATTCTTTTTTCAAGAATGCTAAAGCAGTGAATTTTCAAACAATGACTATCCCTAACCATTATGTCTGGCTATATAAAGACAAAACTATACTCTACATGGTTAAGTAAGTAATTTTATTTGTTAAAAAGGAAAGATAATTCAATTTAAATTATGGTTATAAATGTCGAAGAGTTTTTAAATAGTTTTTATTCCTGAATTATATCAATGGAAGCATAAAGTAATAGTCTGCATGTTCAAATTGCTTTAATTTATGAAAGCAAGTAGACTATACTTTTACAGCACAAAACTGTTTATCATGAAAACAAGTCATTGATTATACCCATACTGTAAAAATAAAATAAAAATAAGAAACTGTATCAAAACACTGTAAAAATTACTGGCACTCGGGGCGCTGGTACTTTTTATCGCAAAATTAAATTTTACCTAAGCATGCTACAGAGCAAAAATGCGGATATACCGTACTTTTTACAGTAATAATTGACGTAAAATCACTGAACTACTCAAATTAAATAACGTTTAAAGTAAAATTTACGATATATTTCACGGTAAAAATGGATTTTTTTTCTGATGATGCACCCAAAAGGCCGGTACTTTAAAATGTATATTTGATCCGGAATTCTTACAGCGTGCGGTTTATATTATAATGCAAAAAAAATAATAACTTTGATAAAACTAAATATTATACGTTAAAGTGTGTTATCGATAGTTAGTGTATTCATTCAATCAGGAGCATATTTCTTGTAATTTAGATTACGTAGATTAAAATGTTCCAAAGGCTAAATTTAACAAAATAAAGAAAGAATCTTTTGAAGTATTCTAAAAAATAAATATTAAAAAAAAAATAATTTTTGACAGATTAAAAATTTATGGGAAAACCGATATCAAATTTAGTTCTTTTTTAATTAAATTTAGTGGTAGTAACATTTTTTTAATTTTTTAAGTGTTATTCCCAATGCACTCAATATACTTATCAATTAAATATTGTAAATGATCTTGTATTAAATATTTAAAATTATCTTCACAATTAATAAGAAGATACTTAAAATGATGCACAGCGTACCTGTATAAGAGAGGGGATTAGGTGCAAGTACTATCCAACATTTCATTAGAGCTTCTTAAGCATAGAATGTAATTAATCGCTGTACCTGAAATCTGGAATGTGATTTGTTAAGCATATCAAGATCGAGTTCTTAGTAGCATTCCTCAAAGACTGAGGATCAGAAACCATCTGTAATTAACTAAATTCATTTATACAAAATAACAACTAAACTATATGTTTACAGCTAATATATATTTGTATTAAAGTAAAAAAATGGCTATAAGACAATGTGGAATTAGAAAATGTAGTATATTCGATGAAAAATACTGACTTTGTATTGTGCATTTGCTACGATCTGCATTATGCATTAAATGAAAGTTTTTTACTTTGCTCAGTTTGAAATAAAAAGTATTTATAATTCGTTCGCAAATAATTTGAGAATAAATTGATCTGTATGATTTGTGAGATCTGTGTGGAGATTAAATTTCAAAAATAACCAAAGATTAAAGTAGAGAACAATGCGTACATAATTGTGCTGATTTTGAGTTATTTTTGAAAGCGAATGGGTGTCACTATGATTTAGAATTTTATACGATTTGCTCTACTGCAAAAACACTGTTCCTGGGCGAGTTTGAAATGTGGAATATATATATTTCCACATTTTAAACTTTGGTACTATACCTTCGTGTTTACTTTCTTTGTCACATTATTTTTTTTAAATAATTTTCCAACATTTATTTGATTTTCAAACATTTTACGAGTGTCCAAACACGGAAAGTAGGGAAGTAGTAGGGAAACTTATGAATGTTTTCCATGTAATATTGGAATGCATTTAAATCATTTAATGCATTTAATTTATCATATAAAGAGCTTGAATGAATTGATTATAAATCAAAGGTTTCACAGGATGTATGAACTACATATTTAAATAAATTTACTACAAAAAGAATTCCTGCTTACAACAAAACTAGATAAAAAAAAAATAATAGTCATGGAATGATCGAGTGAAATGAATTGCGAAGCAATGCGAAATAAGCAGCAAAAGCACTTTTGGAGATTGGCAAGCGCAGCGAGTAGGACGTGCTTTTCTTTTCTTCAATACAATTATTATTATTTATAATTAGAAAACGCATAGTAAAACTAATTTATAAACACACTACCATTGAACAAAGTTTCAGATAATTGTTCCGCCTTTCAAAAAGTTTTAAATGACTAGTGATGTTAGACAAATATTTCTCTCCGCTGAATAACACTTAATGGCTTTTGAAATATAGTTGGAGAAACTTCCGTTTAAATGTTCTTTTAGAATTTGCAGAAGGAGACGCTAGAATTTTTAAGATCAAATCTCTCAGTGAAATTTACTACCTCCTCTGCAGCGCACCAGTACTTACACCAGAGCGAAGAATTCTGATTTATGCCTCACCCAGATTTCAAAAGTGATATTTCATGTTCTTTAAAATAAGCGTATAAAGGTAATTTTGCTTTGTGGGATGATAGTATACTCAATTGTGGACTCGAGATAGATTTCACAGACAGGTTAGTAAAAATGATGAGTAATGCCTTTAATTTATTTATTTATCATTAGTTCTTGTTTAAGTTTATCTCTCATTTAAATTAATTATTAGGCATTAGAATGATTTAAAAATTAGACTCTGAAAATGAAAGGGCAAAATAGTTAGACAAAAGGAATAAAAAAACATGTAGTTACATGTCATCATAAACGCTATAGGAGGCCGTTATCGGAAAGAGTATCAAATTACATGGTAATAAGCATGCGATAATATTACATACAAGGACAATTAACAAATATCTTACTTTTTTGTCATCACAAGGGATATTTTCCGGCAGCATTTTCGTCGCATAAAATAAAGCTTTTCTGTAAATAATATGCTGTTTTCATAATTGATAGAAAATAGCTCTGCTGATGCTATTTTCATAATGAAGAACCTACAAGCGTAGGGCAATCGCGTAATCTTGATTATTTTGAATAGTCTATAACAGGGGTGGCCAACCTGCGGCTCGCGAGCCACATGGGGCGTTTTGAAGGATTATTTGTGGCTCTTGATAAATGTACCCGAGTTTCTTTTTCATTTTTGTGCTATTATATTTGAAAAAAAATATTACCATTCCGTATGTGTTTCAAAATGTCTTTTAAATTACGGAGAACAAATATGAAAGACTAAGTGCAACGTTGTTCAATTCATGGTGAGTTTTCCATTTCTAATATAATTAAGACACAAAAGCATCTGGAGAATTAGAATTAATAGAGATGCAAGAAGATCAAGCTCTACAATGAAAATATAAGTCGGCGTCGATTACTGAATTTCGGAAATTTGTACCAGAATCGAAATATCTTGAATTAAAAAAGGCTGCCTGTCGAATTAATTCAATATTCGGAACAACGTACTTATGTGAATCATTTTATTCCACTTTAAAATTCATGAAATACAAACGCCGATCAGTATAAACTAACCAGCATCTCAAATAATTACTGAGAAGTGCTGTCACCAATTATTCACCAAATTTTAAAGAATTATCAAGAGAAGTAAAATAAATGTGTTTAATTTTTAATATTTAAATTCAATACACATATTTTGTACTTTTACTTATATGTTTCCAATAAATATAATTTATGTGGAAAAAAAATTAATACCTTTTTGCATATCTATTAAATACGTATTTAATTGCAGCTCGCGAAAAATTTCAAATTTTGAAAAATGACTCGACTAACAAGGAGCTTGGCCACCCCTGGGCTATAATTTACAACTCTCGTAAATCAATTCAGGATTTTCAAAATGGTCCTGAATTTTTTTAAAAATCATAACTTATAATTACCTTAAAATAGAACTAACTTCACGTGCCTGAAAAAAGTGGGAATTGCTTATGACGTTCACATCCTGGGTAAGCGGAATTAGCCCAACCAAAACTTATCTTAGGGCGAAGTGATGTTGTTTAAAAAGGAGTTTAGTTTTAATCTCAGTTTTTACAAAATTATGTTTATTTTTGTTATATAGCAAACAGAGACAGATACATGGTTTGAGTATTGATATTTTTTTGTTCGGAAATATACATTTTGCCATTAGAAAGTGTTATAAATAAACAGGTCTATGCATAGAGTTAAGAACTGCTTAAAAAATTTTCCCGTAATTGTTTGATCCCAGATAGAAAATGAAAATATTTAGGATTTAGATCACAAAAATTATTCATGGCTGTTAAGTCAAGTTTAGTCTCTCTTTAGCGATCAATTAGCGTACCAATTAGAGAAATGTTCCTAATTGATACGGCTAAAAGTGGAGTTTTTTTTTTCAAATTTCCTTCACTTAATGTTTTTTATAAAATTATAGTAACTGTTTCCTTCTTTAAAAAAGTATTAATTATTGTGTGTTTAAATATTAATTATTTAAAAGACAATATTAGTTATGCATTCAAATAAATAAAAAAATTAATTAAATGTAAGCTGCCAGATACTTTTCTGCTTTTCCCAAAACTGAAATGTTTTTTAAAATGTTTTATTATAATAACACGTTTAACAATTTTTTTTCAGGTGGTAAGACTTGTTTTGAATTTTAATTTTAAAAAGTATGTTTGTGTGTTGATTGATTGTTTGTATATGCACTAGATTGACTTTAATTCTCTCCTGTGCAATGAACTTTGTAACATATCCTCACGACACGCAACACTGTTCCCTAGAAATGGAAAGCTGTAAGTATGCATATTTATGGATATCATAAAAGTTGCATTATTGTACAAGCAGCCTGTTTATGAACACTAAAATGTATCATATTCATACAAATGCAAGCATTAGCATATGCAGGGTTATAAAGCAAATGGAATATTTTAGAATATTAGCAAATATGAATAACAAAAATATAAACGAACATTTGGTATGCAACATTTTTGCAAATATTTAACGAGGTCACCTTTTTTTAATTTTAGAAATGATATAAGTATATGAATTAATTTAAGCATATAAATAAATATCGAATTTTTTAAATATACAGATGCGCTTTGTCAATTTTATAGAGCAATAGTTTTTAAAAAAAGGTTTTTTATGAAAATTGAAATACGTCAATTCATAGATTTTGTTCAGTTTGTTAAAGGCTCAAAAACATCAGATCATATTTTATTATGTTTTAATACTTCAAGTAGATACACTTTAAAAAATTTCACTTTTCTCGTGAATCTATTTAGCTAAATAATATACATTCTGATATATTTTATAGTTGTTATGCATTGCATTAACTAAATTTCAGTACTAATGGCAAAATTTTCATGAAAGATATTTTTCCATATTTTTTCTTCATTAATTTGCATTATTTTAGGCCAAAATAAGAGAAAAGAATTTGATTTAGCATGCAGCATAGATATTAAATACATAAAATACAGCATAGTCACCCTTTTCGAGGGAAAGACAAAATTTTCTAAGCATGGTTCAGTTCTATTTTTTTTTTTAATTTGCATTTATTCGCAGTTGATTAAACTTAAGAGACAAAATAATTAATCATTAATTTTTTTTATTTACATAATCAATTATTGATAAAATTGTGAATATGAATGAATAAAAAAAAATTAGCTACATTTCTTTCGGATTTAAAACAAATATAATTCCAAGATTCTATTAGATTTCGTCGAAATTAGACTATCTTTTATAATTGAAAAAAGTACAAAAATATATATTTACATCTAATTAGAGTATCAGTAATAAAAATTATAAAAGGGACGCGGGTTTCCCATCTGCGCCACGGATTAATTGAACAAACGTTTTGTTTTCCTATACCTAAGATTTAAATATCATTTCAAATTCAAATGCAAAACAGAAATTTTTTAAAAATCAGTTATGAAAGATTGATTGAGGCAAATATACATAAGTTCTAGTAATGTTGATGAGTAGTTAACTAATGGATCATATTCAAACTTAAATGAATGTGTATTATACGAGGGATGTAAATTAAATAGTGGCAGCTTAACCTTGAAACTCCTAGAAGGGTGGGCATGCGCAAATAGGATATGGGAGCGGTGAGGTGGCACTGTTGTCGATGTGTAGAGTGCAAAAAACAGTCGATCTGCTTAGAAGGATAGTTGTTGTTCGGCGTTAAAGTGAGGAGTTTCGCTTCCATAGCTCTAAAGCATGTTTTCAAAAGGCTTAATGACGAAAAAAGATGAGATGCTTGAACCCATCGTCCTATACGGTAAAGCATTTGCGCCACAGGCTTCCACTAATCCTCGATAGCATTCTGTTGCATTTTTGCCTAGGGCAACCTCGATTTTAAGCCACGACCGCTGATCACCTTTTGAAAACATGCTTTAGAGCGATAGAAACGAAATTCCTCACTTTAACGACACACAACAACCGCCTTTCTAAGCAGATCGACTGTTTTTTGCATTCTACACATCGACAACAGCGTCACCTCACCGCTCCCATATCCTATTTGCGCATACCCACATTTCTGTGAGTTTCAAGGTTAAGTTGCCACTATTTAATTCACAACCCTCTTATAACTCACGTAAAATGTGACTTTAAGGAGGAATTTAAAGCCAAAAGGGATCTCATTAGAAAACACAAAAACATTTTATTTTGAAAAATGAAAACTCCAAACTTATTAACTTCAAAAAATTAAAGTTAAACATGCATTCCCAATTTTTTTTTTTTCATTTCGAAAATAAAGGTTGTAGAATTGAATATTAGCTCTAAATTTTAAAATATGTATTCAAAAATTATTCGATTAAGTCTACTGTAATTTAATTTAAATTAAAACACATTAAACTTGCTTTCAATTCAAATAAATCTATCCTAATTATTAAAAAATTGAAGCAATTAGTTTATTGCTTCATTTTACAGCTGCACATTTTTTTTAACAATTATTAATGCACTAAAAGTTCAATTTCTTCTATATTCCATATTGCAAATGATTTATAATCTTTTTATTATTCAATGTTTCTTACTAAAAATACAATGCATTGTATTGATATGTTATTCCTTATTCTTGCTTACTTCTTAATTTTTCAATCAATAATTTACCATTGAGCTTTAAATTTTATAATAAATGATAATTGCTTGTTTATTACATTTTCACACAACACAGTTTCCTCATTTAACAACTATTAATGAAGACATAATTGTTTTTTTTTCTAGTATCCCATACCACCGATGATTTGATTTTTGATTGGGCAGAACACGTTCCGTTGGAAGTCAGTGAAGAAATTGAACTTCCACAATTGGATCTTATCAAAACTGAACGGAAAGACTGTACGCAAGTTTATTCAACTGGTAAAATGTCTTGCTTTAAATATAATTTAAAAACCCTGCTTTTAAAACCAGCTCAAATATTTCTTTCTCAAAAACAATTTTTTTTCCAGCATTCCAAACTTCCAAGATAAAAAATGACATCGTTATTTTTGTGTTGTTATATATTTTTCCATGATCAAACTGTTTTTTGAGATTAAAAATACAAAGCTAAAATTTACGAGATGTTTTGAAATCCCGTCCCCACAATTTTTGTCAGAATCTTTGCGAAAAAAAAGGAATAAAAAAAGCACGTATTTCAAAAGCGGCAAAAATCAATACTTCAGAGCTGAAAAAACGAAAATGCTATCAAATTTTGTAAATAATTGGTGAAGAAATTGAAAACCTAAAATCATAAAAGCCAGTTTTTTTGCCTAATAATCCGATAAAACTTGAAGGAGGCTCACAGTAATCTCATAATCAAATTCAATACCTTTCTGTCTTAGGCAACATGCAAATTGGTTAGGAGTGGTTTGCTAGATTTTGACAGTATTTTTTCGACATTTTAAGCGCATATTTTTTATTTGGTATTTTTATTTTTATTTTGGAGAGAATTCTTAAAATGTATATTAAAAGATTTAACCAGAAATAAAATCTGTAAATATATATAAAAAAATATCTTACATCCTATAAATATTCTTATAGTTATTGTTATTAATTATTATTTTCTTTAATAAATACAGTTCTATCGTAAAATAAATGAGTTATGCTATTTTTTTTCTATTCAAACTTACAAATTCTTTATCGTAATTAGTTCAGACTAAGTTATTATTAATATAAAAACCTCCTAATTCATACAATATACTTAAATAAATTATTGCTGTCCCACCCTTTGACCAACAATGAATAATTACTAATTTCCCTCTGACAGAAAATGCATATTGATCCCACTGACACCTTACAGGTGCATCATCTGCCTGGGTTGGAAACATTTGCTTAGTTTGTTTGGGGATGGGAAAATGAGATAAAAGAAGCAAGCAAGAAAAAATGCTTATAGCTACATCCCCCTCTTTAGATGGTTTCAAAAATCGGTATATGTATTTATTTTGAAGTATAAATTTCAAAATTATTTTTAAAAAAATCACACAAAAAAAATCAGCCGAAGGCAGAAAAAAGTTCATTATATCCAACTTCCTCACTTTTTTGATTCACTATATCCACAAAAAATAACATCATACGTGTATAGCAAGGCACGGGACCGAAAATTTCGTTCACTATATCCAGGAGTTCACTATAAACTGCGTTCACTATAGCGGTGTTTGACTGTATATACAAATAATTTTCATTTTCCCATATAATTGTCTCTTTAGAATATAGATATTGCTTTTTCCAATTCGTGATGACACTCAAGAAGGAAGAAAAGAAAAAAATTTCAATCGATGAATAACGGAAAGCTTCTTTTTAAACGGCTTTTGACAAAGTTTTGTTTTCCATCAAGAAAACCTGCCAAATGAAACAATTTTAATGTGAGATTAGGTTATTGAATGAAGATGGAAAACTAGAATAATAAAAACTGCACTTGTTTCAATAAAAAAAAAGATTCAGCTAAAATTTAAATTAAATACCCGAGAAATAAAAGTTAGCAGAAAAATAGTTAAGAAATTATTACTGATAAAAAACTGGTTTAAAATTATTATTTTTAAAAACCGAAAATAGCAAATTTTTTTAAAAGAGAAAATAAAATATAATAAAACCGAATAATATAGCAAAATTTAAAGAAATTATTTCTAAAAACTGAAGCGGTAAGTTAATAATTGATTATAAACTCCATTTTAATTCAAAATTATACAAACTGGAAGTAACAGTCGACAAGTTTCAAGCGCTCAAAAATAGGCGTCCATTTTCAAGATTTGTCAGNTATTTGCACTAATTTTATGAGTTCTATTTACTTGCAGCTTATGCGCTATAAATAAAACTTAGTGTTTTCTTAATTTTCTTCGAGTTTTTTTGTATTTATTTATTATGCTATATACATATACTTATATATACTGAGCTGTTTTTTTTCATCTTATTGAATAGAGATAAGGAAAAAATAACAATAAAAAGTAAAATGGAAAAATATTATATTTCCACAAAAATTCCTTTTATACTATAATTTTTGTTTTGATGGAGGAAAAATTGCATTAACTTCGATTTAATTTTACTCTGTTTATTTTGAATAAATTTCCGTTTCAAATAAAGTTTTATTTCGTAAAAATTTTTGCTATACTTTTTATTTCATAACAATAATAAGATTTTTTTAAAGCAAGAACAAAATATTTGATTTAGATAACAACTGGGAACGGAGAATATAGACACAGTTTAATCATTACGTTAATGAGAAGCATTTCCTAAGCTTTGAACATTCTCTACAACGCCTAGAAAATAGGTTATTTAGCATCTTCATTTATTACAAAGAAAATTCAAAGCTTTAAATTAGGCTAAAGTAAAAACAAAAAAGAAATGACACAGATAAATACGTTAGGTAAAGTTTAAATATTTGTTTAAGGAAATAGAGTTTTTTATACCTGATAACAAGTGGCAAATTTACAATAAATCTTATATTTTTGCTGTATTTAAAAATATTAACATTGAACAAATAAATATGCTATACAAGGGCAGTATACAATCTAATTTTCTTTTCATATTTTTTACTTTTTAAGTTTAAATTATTAGACAAATGAAACTTATTAGTAGTAATAATCATTTAGAAAAAAAAACTATTTTTATTTGGCAACGGGCATGTTCACTGCTCTTTAATACTGCAAATTTTTTTATCTATATTGGAGAATTATGAGAGAAATATATACAAATAATTTTGATTCTCCTATATAATTGTATCTTTAGAATATAGATATTGCTTTTTCCAATTCATGATGACACTCAAGAAAGAAAAATAGAAAAAAAATTCAATCAATGAATAACAGAAAGCATCCTTTTAAACAGCTTTTGACAAGTCCATCAAGAAAATCGGCCAAACGAAACAAATGTGAGATTTTATTATTGGATGAAGATGGGAAACTAGAATAACAAAAACTGCACTTGTTTCAATAAAAAAAAAAAAAGATTCAGGTAAAATTTAAATTAAATACGCGAGAAATAAAAGTTAGCAGAAAAATTAGGACTGATAAGAAACTGGTTTAGAATTATTATTTTTTAAAACAGAAAATAGCAAATTTTTTTAAAAGAGAAAATAAAATATAATAAAACCGAATAATGTAGCAAAATTTAAAGAAATTATTTCTAAAAACTGAAGCGGTAAGTTAATAATTGATTATAAACTCCATTTTAATTCAAAATTATACAAACTGGAAGTAACAGTCGACAAGTTTCAAGCGCTCAAAAATAGGCGTCCATTTTCAAGATTTGTCAGACGTGAATGAAAGGAAACAAAACTGAGTTGAAATGTGAAACGTTAAGTCGCCAATGAGAAATGGAAAAATAAAGATGAGAAACAAAACTAGAAAGAAAAGAGTAGCCGAGAGAGGAAAAAAAAAAGTTTAAAAAAAAGTCTGTTAAAGCAGAACCAAATTTACCCTGATTTGCCCCTGTGTTTTATCTTGTTCTTTTTTTATCATTTTCCTTTTGAGCTGCATTCTTTTTTCTAATTTTGTTTTCCACCTTTATTTTTCCATTTTTCATTGGAAATTTTACATTTTATACTTCAAATCACTTTTGTTTCTTCTCATTTTACGCCTGGTACATGTTAAAAACGAACGTTTATTTTTGAGAGCTTGAAGCATCTAGACTGTTATTTACAATTTTATAACTTTGAAGTGAATGAAGTTTTTAATCAATGGATATTGCAACATGACATTCGTTGTGTGATTCGAAAGGAGGAGAAAGCATAGACAGCTTGACATTTACTAAAATGAAAAGGGAATGAAAAAAAATACTGAAAACTGGCTTAAATCTAATATCTCCCCCAAAAGTTTCTTTTTTAGTAGCTATTAAAAGTACAGAACCGTGTTTAGTGTATATATATATACACTCTATAACCAAAAAATTGACGCTCCAAGAAGCAATCATGCGATTGCTTTGAAATTTCGTATGCATGAATGTTTTGAACAGATTTGGTTGGACTGATGCCGACTGGGGACGTATAGTCTTTAGCGACGAATCCCGTTTCCAACTGTGTCCTGACGATTGTCGAAGAAGTGTTTGGAGACGCACAGGGCAGAGGGGGGATCCTGCCTCCACTATTGCACGCCACACCGGCCCTCAACAAAGCATTATGGTCTGGTGTGCCATATATATATATATGAAAAAAGGGGGGTGAAAATAATAATGAAAAAAATAACAAACAACAGATTTAAAAAAAAAGGATGAAATTTTTTAAAGAAACCGGATAATAAAAGATACAATCTTTTCATCAACCCACACGATTATATCCGCAAAAAGAGTGCTTTCTGGTATTGTATCAATATAACCAAAGCAAAATATATTAATACAATAGTGTGAGGAGCATTAAACTTTTTTTTTTTTTACAAAAATTACAACAAATAAAGCAGAACACAATAAGTAAAAATAACACGTAAAAGCAGAAAATAGAACAAAAGAAAAAGAAAAACAGTTTAAAACAAAATCTATAAAGCGAGTAGCAAAATCAGATGTTTTATTTATTGTTTTTCTTAACTTTCTTCTCGTATTTATTTATTTTGTTGTATATATATATATATATATATATATATATTATGCACATATATTATGCACATATTGGACGAGGATATTCTTTTTAATATATATTAAAATATATTGAGCTGGTATATTTATGATCTAATCATTCTTGTCCAGACAAATACATACGTACCAGATGGTACGTATGTGATCCTCGATGACTGGGTTCTCAACAATGAGCATCTGTGACGTGTAAAATATATAGTCAATTTAATAGTAATATAAGAAAATATTCCTTCTGTGTACCAACAGGTAGAAGTCCAACCTTTCAAGACAATTGTAACTATTTTCTGTGGATAGCTCAATATTTTATACTTCATTCAGATCTTAATTGTCCTAGAAACCTCTCCTCTGCAATAGCAAGACTCCGTATGGGCCATTTGCAAGGACATGATGATTTCTTCAGACAAGAACAGATTATACCCCTTATACAGAAATTGTCCCTATATCCAATTAAAGTCATAACCCATTCTCAGCTGTCAGGTCAGCCTGACTGCACTTTTTGAACTCGACTCACCACCAGAGGACATGACAGTCTCCAGGCGTCAGAACTCGCAAAACTCATTCTCCAAACTTCTGGAAATATTTAGCACTGCCATATACAAGACAACAACAATAGTATTCATCCAGCATTAACAATACTTGTGCATTTCAGTGCCAAAACCTCTTATTTTAAAACTAAATTACTTTTTTTCAGGTAACTTTACTTGTTTGCAAATCACATTTACTCTGAAGAGACGTCTAGGATACTATCTATTTCACACATATATACCAACATGCCTCATAGTTATAATGTCCTGGGTGTCCTTTTGGATTAGACCAGAGGCTGTCCCAGCGAGGGTGACACTTGGAGTGACCAGCCTCCTCACTTTATCTACACAACACGCGAAGAGTTTGGACTCTTTGCCTCCCGTTTCCTATATAAAAGCTATAGACATTTTCATGGCCTCTTGCACTATATTCGTATTCTTATCGCTTATGGAGTTTGCCATGGTGAATGCTATATTAGAAGATTGCCTTACTATAAAACTTAAGCATAAGCTGTTTAAAAGGAAATTTGAAGAAAGCATGAAAGAAGAGAAAATTGAGGTAAAATATGCATATTTTTTTATTAGATATATTAATTATATTTAATTAGTTATTTATCTTTATTTAGTTATCTGTAGTTAGAGAATGTTGTTTCCTTGGACATTTTTTCAACTCTTTATTTTCTGTACAAAAAGTGATTATTCAATCAATTAAGCAATTTTTGTAAGAAATGCAGTGTACGTTTGTCTATTATGTAATATAATTTTACTTTGCGAACGAATTCTCTCATGCATTAAAAAAAGCATTTAAAGTAAATAACATTAATCCGCGTAACAACAGTATATTTTTATTCTTAAGGGGATTTTAATTTTAAATTCTCTTTTCCTAAACGTTTTAATATCCTTGTTATTAAAACGTAATTGTCAAGTAGATTTCAAAAGCAAAAATAAATCAAATTAACTATAAATGTAATATTAAAAAATATTTCATTTGAATATCGCAAAAATTTATAGTTTGGCCTGTGGCCGCCTTGGGCTTGTTCGAAATACAATAAGCATACATATTATATATTTTTTAAAATTTTTTCTGTATCTGGTAAATCAGGAACCGTCAGCAACACAGAAAATACTCTCTGTTGTTACAGATGACAAATACTCAACGCGAAATTCTTCCACTAGGTGGCGTTAATGTTAAAGCAAGTCCAAGGTATAAAAATGTCCCCTACTTACTGAAAATTTTAGCAAACCTAAACTGTCTTTGGTAAATAGGCGATTTTAGCGTTGCAGAATTTAATATTCGTTAAAGAAATCACTTTTTGTTAATACCTACTTTTCATTCGTATAGAAGAAAAAGCTTTTTGTAAGAGGTTTGACTATTTTAGGATTTTGGTAAAATCGCTTTTCTTAATTTTTTCTTATCTCTTATAATTAACCTCTAATAATTAATAGGCTCTTATAATTAACCTCTAAATGTATTCCTTACACCTAAAATAAAAGTAATCAATGATTGATGAGAAGGGAAAATATTAACACTCAGAAAAATTGTGTGTTAAAAATACCACACTGAATAAATTTACAGTGTTTCTGGCGTTATGGGAACATTTAAAATCCAGTAATTTATATCGAAACGCTTTTGCAATCATTTCGGTAAAATTAACTATAAAATATGGTTTTGTAATGTTTCATAAAATGTTTTTAAATGTGGTAATTTTATTATGAAACCTTAGGGCATTGCATAAAAATAATTTATTTGTTGAAATTTACTATTTTAGTTTTGCATTTCTTACCAAATGATAATAATAAGATAATTTTGTAATCCAGAATTTCTGATGAACGTTTACCTTATGAGCAGAAATATTACCAAATGAAAGGTTTAAATACAGTATATTTTGGTTTAATTTTCCCGAATTATGGTTTTTACATCCAAAAAATGTCGATAGAATATAATACAGTAATCTAACCTTTTTTTTTTTCACCAAGTAAATACTCTAATTTAATGGTGCTACATTTGCGGCAACAAATAAAGAGCAATCTTCAGATAATGAATATTTAAAACTACTTTGTTTACTGAAGCATGAGGTTATGTTTCAATCTTTATTGTTTGAAACGACTTTCTGTGCATTGTTCCGAAATTTGTTTTCATCTTATAATACATCATTTTCCGTGAGCAACTTTAAATTTTTTATTTCAAATTGCGTTTGTTTATTCTCGTCTGGCCAGTCTTGAAATTAGGTGCCTATTTCCAAAGCACTTGAAGCACATCGACTGTAATTTGCTATTTATAAATTTGTGAAGCTTTTAATCAGGTAATGTATTATCGCCTCATGCTCTTAGAATTGCTTTTTAACACCAGATGAAAGTTTTAAATACAGTATATTTTGATTTTATTATGTTATTAATATAAACAAAATTATGTTTTTTTCTTCCTCTTTTTCTATACCAAAAATATCTTTACATGTAGTACGTACCAAAAGTTTCTTTCTCTGCGTGTAAAAGGGATTGATCCCAATTTAAAGAACTTAACAATTTAAATTTTGCACCGGATTAAAAAAAATTTCCTTATTTTTTATCCAATAGGATAGAAAAAATGTCCTCCATTTTTTTAATTTTTCTCCTCTTTTTAAGCAAATAAGGAAATTTTTTGGCTGTTTCACCCCTCTCTCCCAATTCTGAGCTGAAGTAGGAAGTTTTCTCTTACCTTGCTTATCTGTATATTTCTTGTCTCTTATTCATTGAATATTTCAACAATATGTAATTTGAATTATTTTTAGGATTGTGCTAACTGTAGTACAATGGAGCGTAAATCAACAAGATTGTCACGGAGAGTGCAAAAACGCAGAAACTACGCTGCAAAAATAGACATGATATCACGAATAGCGTTTCCATTAAGTTTTGGAATATTGACTGTCACCTATTGGTTCTATTTTGTCGTCAGTCAATGAAAATTCATTTTTTGTCTCAAACCAATGTGCTTGCTCAGTGGTGATTCTATATTGACTTTCAAATACTTCATTATATATATAATGAGCAATAATTTTATACTTTATTAAATGTAACATGAATTTAGAATTACTTTATATATTTTTAAATAAATTCCTAACGTATGTTTTTAACACATTTGTAACTGCTAACGTCACATGATGTTCTATTTCTGGCTGCTATAAACTTGATTAGATATCTTTCTTATGGACTAGTCCTAGTTATTAAGGACATCATTTGAAATTCTTATTCTACTGGTTCTTCTGACTCCCTTTTAGAATTTAAATTAATCGACTGCGGATAATTTAAGCAAATATATATGTTCAAAACTAATTCAACCTGTTTTTTTTGTCAAAATGTCTCAATTGATATAGATATATATCAATTGAGACGTTTGAGATTAGAAATACTGAGCATTATTAATAAGAATTGACAAGTATTTATGTATTTAAAGGATTGAAGTTTTTCTTTTTTTTAAATTTTCCAGTGAGGAATATATAATTAAGTATGGTGAAACTTCCAGCTATGGGCACCCCTGCACAACGGATGCCTCTCAATACGGACATATTTTTAATTTCCCCTTGAATCTTCTATGAATAAACCATTGTACACATTCTCCGCAAAGTGAAAATTCCAGTAACATGACGCGGACAGTCATTTTTTTCCCTGAAACGTTATTTCCTATCTCTTCAAACCAGTAGTATAAAGCGTAATTTATGAAAATACTATAATTATTCAATTAAAAAATAGTTAAGTGGTCAAAACTATCGTTAACACTCTTATCAAATGCGCCTTTTTGCAGACTTGTTTCGTTATTCTGCGTTTCTTAGGCGAGCCACACACTGATGAGGGAAGCGGTTAGGAAGAAGCATACAAGAGGCGAATTTCTGTACTTTTGCGTTAGGATGCGCAGAGATGATGTGCGCATGCTAATACTAAAGTATAGAAATCTGCCTCAAACATGTCTTAGATGGACAGAAAGTACAATTCTGCTATTTTATGTCACTTTTAAGTGCGTCTTCAGTTGGATTTTAAACATTCAAATTATCTTCAATGTTTATTTTGATGTAACTTAATGTTCGACTGTTTGACAACAATTCGCTCGAATACGCCACTTCGGGTAAACACCGGGAAAGAGGAAAGGGTCAAGTCATGGAAAATGACTTGACCCTTTCCTCTTTCTCTCTCCTCCTCTTCCTCTTTCTTAGCATTTTTCGTATTTACTTGTCGAAATATTTTTTTAAAAATTTCCACGGTGCTTTCTTTTAGAGCTGTGTTTAATATAGTTCTCAGTTCCAAATAGTTTTCCAACTTAAATTTTTTTAATCTGCTTAAAAAGCATGAGAGAAGTTAATATACTTCGTTCTCCCATGACTCTCCACACGCTAATGATGAAAGTATGTGAAGGATTGCCATAGGTAGAGAATCTAGCTCTACGCCACCTGTAGCCCATTTTGATTTCCAATTACAGCGAATCTCGAAAAGAAACAAGTGTACATCAGTGCTTATAACTCATTACAACCTTAAATAACTAATTTTACTAGTTATAAAGATACTGTGATTGAGGTAGTGTGAGCGCAACGTGGCAGGGATCGGTAGTCTGCGAAACGAATGTTTAGTTATCTAGGTTAAAATAAAAACTCAGCAGTTTTTGGTAGTCAGAGATAACGATTCCTTTTAAAAACGAACAAAAAAAACAGATATCTAAACAATATTTTAACTCCGGAACTTGTTACAATGAAATTAGTTTTGTACTTATGATAAATTAACATTGAAGTAAGTATTATTTTCTGATGTTAGTGTATCATATCTGAGTACAGATAATGTTAAATTCGTTTTTTTTTCTTATACTCCCATATCATTTGTCAATCCTGTTAAATACATTGTGCTAAAAATTTTAGATTCCGTTTTAAAATTATTTAGAATTTAACTATGTGATCTGAAAACATGCAAGATATATATTATACTTAAAATTTTTGAATCCAATGCAAAAGTACTTAGAATTTAAGTAAATGTTATAAGCATACAGCAATTTAAAATGTTTTTAATCATATGTTTGAGATTGATTAACCTGCATTTTATCTGAAATTAAGTATTCTTGCATTATTACTACAAAATCTTTAAAGTAGGTTTCTTTAATTTACTTTACCTATTCTAAAGAGACCACCTTATATGTATTTTTTTTTATTTTCATCTTGTTTAGAAATTCTGACACTCTCTCAGTTTGAAGTTAAAAATTCGTCGTTCGCAAATGTGTTAATAACATCACACGTCAAGACATCCATATGGAACTACTGTAGTTAATTAAGTCCTGCGAAAAAATAACTTTTGAAGCTAAACAATTTATCACTTTTCACGATGCAAGATGTTTTTTAAAAGTTACTTAAAAGTAGCAATATTTAATATCCGCTAACTTAAAAATATACGAGAGTAGCAACACCATGAATTTTAAATTACATTCACTCGCACCTTTCTACTACATCAAGTTTTCTCTTGCTAACAATCTGTAACTTTAGTAATTTTTTAGAATATTTTATAGGCTACGCTAAGAAAATTTATTGAGTTCTGAAATAATCGGAAATATAAATAATTAACTAGTTTGAAATTGCAAAACATTTTTAAAAATCAGATTAAAAATAATTCATTTGAAAGCTCTTAATAGTGGTTTAATAAGTTTGGTTTAATAAGTGGTTTAATAAGTTTAGCGTACAAGAAAGACCAAAGTTTAAATACAGTCGAACCTCGAACCATCGTTCCCTTATCTCACACACAATACCTTGTATTAATGCTCACGTCACTAAGGCTATTTTAATAATGAAATTCATTTAGATTAATTTTGAAAATTTAAAATTCAAAATATGATAATTTTTTTGAAGTAACTTAAAAATAGCTGTATTTAATATCGGCTAACTTAAAAATATACGAGAGTAGCTACAACATGAATTTAAATTACATTTATTTACTCCTCTCTACTTCATCAAGCTTTTTCTTGCTAATAATCTGTAACTTTGATAATTTTCTAGAATATTTTATAGGGTACGCTGAGAAAATTTCATGAGTTCTGAAATAATCGGAAATACTTGAATCTGATAATCTCAAATAATCCAAAATCGGTGAAAATTGAATTTAATTAGTTTTTTAAAAGGAAAACAGTAAATCTCTCTCTTTCTCTTTTAACTCTTCATACGAATGCTGATGCAAAAAATCATGATTCATTAATGCTTGGTGAAAGTGCCTAAAATATCACGTTTAATGTTTGTGCAGCAGTTAATAAAAATATTGAAATCTGTGGTTGATTTGATAAAAGGTTGTAGAAACTAACGAAGTTCTTAGTGTTACCGATGTAGATGGCGAAAGAGAGCCACAGCCAGTACTACCAACATCAGTGACCAGTACTATCAACTTTGATACCTTTGGAACAATAATGAACTTTCTGTATTTGTACGAACTTACGGATCTTAATCACATATAGCAAAAATGTCAGAAATTAATTATTCACACTGAGAAAAAAATTATTCAAACAAAAACTAAGTTAAAATAAATACATATTTTCGTCTGCATTTCGAATTGTAAATAGTTTTGGATATTTTATATCAATTCAAACTTTTTATACTTATTGTACATATATTAATTTTTACGTTAAGTATTATTTCTTTAATACTTACCATACATTTATAAGCAATTATTATCCATTTTATGTTGATTCACATCCGTTATTTTCCCTCATCTATCATTCATAACGAATGGTTTCATGAGAAGCGATTGATCGAGGTTCTATTGCATTTATATTTACGAAACTATAACACATATTGCAATAAATAAAACACGAAGCTAAAGAAAAATATACCAAGTTATTTTTCCTCAATTGCTATTATGAGATGAATAGTTCTTTTGTTGTACATATGTGGAACTTTTAACCTGCCATCAACTATGTGCGTTACATTTTTCAGTATCAGACTACGGTTAATATGTTACTGGAGTGCGTTCTTTAACCCTTTGAAGCAGAATTTTTATTAAACATATTTTTCATCCTTTTTCATTATTTTATATTGATTTAGGTCAAAATAAATGAAAAATATTATATTTAGCATTATAATAATTTCTGGTTATGAAATACAGCATTGAAAACCGATGTCTTTTTCAGCGTTAAAGGTAAAATCTTCCAAACATGATTTCCAACAAGCGAAACAGTAATTCATCAATGAAATTTTTTGTGATTATTTTTTGCTCATATTCAATCATAAATGATTGAATATGAATAATTTTTAAACTATTTTTTTTCGATTTTATAGTACAAGCTTAATTCTGGTAATTCCCCGAAGTTTAGCGCATGTTTAATTCCGATAATTCAAAAGTTTAGCTCATGTTTAATTCCGATAATCTAACAAAAACTTTTAGTAAGTATTAGACGGTTTTTATGGTTAAAAAGCATAAAAAAATATTTTTGATTGTAATGAAAGCATCAGAAAAAATAGATATAATAGACACCGGTTTCTCTACTTCTTCAGAGGGTTGCGCTTGCGTAGTATTTTCAGTATCAGTGATTCATAAACAGTATATTTGTCGCAACATTTTATTTATAAAAAAAAAATGGATCATATGGGGTGAATTGTAGAATCACATGATGTAAATTTCAATTCAATCAAAAGCAAAAGGGAAATTAAAAAATTAAAATTTCCTTTTTTGCAACTTTAAATTAAATACAAGCATAAAAAGGCTTCTTAGTAAATAAAATTTGCATTCTTTTAAATAAGTATGAAAATAAAAACTTTTTGGCAGCCTGATACGCCATAGAAAGTGATAAATAACTAATAAAACATTCAAGTTAAAATCAAGATTGATAAAATGAAAAATATATATATATATTGTTAAAACAAATGCTTTAATAGAGAGCTTTATGGACCAAACTTTGAAAAATCGTTACATTTAATAGATGTAGAATATATATAAACATTTTCTCTTGCAAAATATTAAAAACATGTTCTCTTGTAAAATATGAAAAACATTCTCTTTGACTTACACTTTTAAACTCATGTTTTATTTCGTTGTCTTTAATTCGAATTCAAATAAACTTCTTTATTATAACTATTTCTCAATTTCAATTTCATTTTGTTTTAAACTAATGTAGCTTATTAGAATAAAATCAACCCATTTTTAATGTATTTGAAATCAAAATAAATAATATGTTTAGTTTTTATATGTCTTTGATTTAAAACAATTTTCATATTATGATATTTAATGCATGGCTCTTTGTTCGTTAGCTTTTTTTTCTTTCTTAATACATATTGACATATTGAATACTGTACATCTGTATATCCTGCAATTATTTTTTCGTAATCTCACATAAGATATATATATATATTTGCTTTTCATACAAAAATGCAAACATATTGAAATCTCAATTTTGAATTTTTTTTGTCGCTTTGGTTAATTTTTTTATTCTATCATTACGATGGTTCCCGAAGAGATTGTCTCTGGTTTTAATCATTGACAGTTACATTGAATACTGTATGTGATCAGATTATTGTTTCTTTCCATTAGAGTTTTACATTCTAAACAAATATATATCCTATTGAATCCATACATTATCTTATCGACTCAGGGGCATTTTTTCTCACTGTTTTATCTGTCGTTTAGAGGAAATTTATTTACCTTACATGGTGCCTACGATAAAGTGATTGTTAGAAAAGTTATATACATTAGGTGCCACGAGTGTTTTCTTTTTTCGTAAAAAAATGATGGACAAAATGTTTCTCTAAGTTGACTAAATTTGCATCTCACGAAGAAGGGAAGACAGTTATTTCGCCACTTAGATAAAATTTTTGCTTCAAGCACATGCAAGGAAACGGTTTCGAAAAAAATAAGTTTCTTTTTCTTTAATTTTAGAAAGAAAAAACTATCAGTGAAACTGCATGTTCATCTCGAACTAAAACATGCTAAAAGCTGATTGATCCTTATACATTAAAAATAATTGGTTCAATTGTGAACTACAAGTATAATATCAGCATTTAATAAACCACTCATCTTTATTGAAGTTAAACAATAGTGCAATGTGATTGAGTGTAAATTTGTCACCTTACTGCAGTTCAATATGTTTATAAAATGCCACCTATATAGTTCATAAGGTACCGATCCTGTTAATAATCCACACATTTCAGAGGGGAACAAGAAAATTCTGGGTAAATTCCACAAATTGTAAGGAAATAATTGAAAGAATATCAAATTGCTGCTCAAATGTTTTTTCAGCAGTTTATGCAGGTTTGAACAAATTGGATGTGTACCTAGGCAATTATTTCAAAAATATCGGACTGAATTTCATTCCGAAAATTTTCTAACTGTGTTGGAATAGTTTAATTTTCTTAATAAAATTGAGGTTATTTTCGAACATGTCCTTTTTCATTCTTTCTCATTCTCCTCCGAACTTGAAGTTCTTGAAGATCTAAATCATCAATACATTTAAATTAAAGAATCTCTTCGGGATTTACCATCATTTAAATTCAGAGAGACGGGAATATTTCATTAATTTTTTAAACATCTAATTATAAATTAAGCTTTAAGCCTTTTTCAAAATAATTTTATTAATTATGAAATGCGATTAAATGTGTACATTTGCTCATGTATGCGTTCTACTCTAAATAATATGTGTATATTTTTTCTTTTTACGTAAATTTGTAATTGAAATATCTCATATTCATTAAATGTTAACCATTGTATTTTGTCTCTTGTTAAATTATGAAAAAGTTTAAGATATATATAGTTATATAATTATATTTGTACCTTGATTTTAATAAAAATATTTATACACAGTTGTTTCTCAGAAAATTATTAAGGGTTTGTGCATAAACTATATACACCGAAGAGCTGTTACATTATGACCACCCTGCTAATAACATGCAGGACCACCTTTAGCCTTCAGAACTGCTAGCATCCGCCGTGGCATTGATTCCACAAGGTGCTGATAGGTAGTCTGAGGTATCTGGTACCAAGCGCTCACCAACTGGTCCTGCAATTCCCTCACATTGCGAGGGGGTAGCGTGGCAGCACGAATTTGGTTTTCCAAGTAGGACCGCAAATGCTCTATTGGATTAAGGTCAGATGAATTTGGGGACCAAGACATGACTTGAAAGTCACTTGAATGTTCCTCGAACCAATCCATGATGATTCGACCTTTATGACATGGTGCATTATCCTGTTGGCAAACACCATCCCCCGCAGGAAAAACTGTTGCCCTGAATGGGTGAACCTGGTCTGCGACTATGTTCAAGTAACTTACAGACGTCAGGGATTGTTCTATGTGAATTATGGGTCCTAATATGAACCAAGAAAACATTGTTCCTGGGCGAGAACCATGAAATCCTGTGCGAGCCCATTGTTATAGATGGACGGTGGTCATAATGTATTGGCTCTTCGGTGTATAAACTAAATGCAGAGTGTGCCAAGTACTTCATTATTTCCTCTACTCCTCTCCCGTTTCCTGGTAAAGTAATTTATTTTTGAACACGAGTCAGAAGACAAATCATCTGAATCAAGTAGTCCAACTCTCATGGAGAACTTTACTGGAATTAACTCTCATTTTGCGTTACTTGGAGGAAAAAAACATGGTCTTCTCAAAACTAAGGGAATTCTAAACAATCTTTCACTTTGCGCTAATAATATAGTAAGCCAGCACTGCACTCGGTATTAGTTGAGAGTAACATTTGTATCAAACATCGCTGTCATCCAGGCATACGAGCAAATAAATTCAGAGGTAGCCGGATCACGTTTTTGGTCAAAAATTTTATCGTTTTTTTTTTTGGTTCGCGTCCCACTGGAACTGAACTGCACAATGGACTATTTTATTTTAAAACCGTCGTTGAACAGTCAACTGAATTTTCAGTTTACCACTACCAATGTTCAACTCTGTGTCCTTGTAATTTTGAACTCAATTCAGATCGAAGTGGACTCCTGGATACAAGCAGTAGGAGAAATTTGCTTTCGTGGAGGATTTTTTGACGAAATTAACCCGCATTTGCGTTACATGGAGAGGAAAACCACGAATTCTTCCCACGGTCAGCCTGACAGCAAGGGCACTTTAACCCATGATCCGTCTACCATTGAGGATATTTTACGTCAGCACTGTGGTCGGGGCAAGCCGGATTTAGAATTCGAATCAGTCAGTCATAGCCGGCAGTCGAACCTGAGCCACCTCATTGGGAGGCAAGCCCTCTATCCTCTAAGCCACCACGGCTCACGCAATGGGGTATTGGCGATGATCTGGGTAACATCCCTGATGATAATTCGGGGAAATGTCATAACAATTTTGATCCCGGATGGCTTCCCTGCTCGGTAGCACGATGACTTGCGCATGAAGTCGAGAACTTCACGGTGGAACGGATTAACGAGGGCCGATACCACACACCCTCGGTAACTTTGCAAGTTGATCAAAGCGGTCGCCCACCCGCATACTTTCCGTAGTCAGTGACGCTTGGTTTCAGGGTTCAACTGGGAACCATGGTGACCTCAAAGATCAGTAGAAATTTCGGAGGACTGCGGGACTTTGAACGAAAATGACATAACTATCTGTGGGAAGGGAGATAATGTATATTGTTATGGTGTGTATTGGAGTTTGTATGACTTTGGCGACAGATTCTGTTTTCACTTATGCTCCAGAATTCTTTCATTTGTGTAAGCGTCATATCAATATTAAGTATAATTTCCATGACTTTGATTCTATTAGAATTTATCAGAAAACTGTACGAAATGTGAACAATATTTTTATTATTTTTCACAATTTTAATTATTTACTCAACAATTAGTTTAGTCGTATGCCTTATATATTATAATCATTTGTAACATAAACAGAACAAAATATTTCTTACAGTTCAAGTATTTGTATTAATTATCCATCATGACTAATTAAAACATCACTACAGTAGTACTATTACTATTTTTCTTACCATCTCAATGCAGTTTTTAAAATTCAGTAAACTATGTTAATACTTCCTATTAAACTGCCATTTCTTGCATTTGAGTTTTAAAATAATAAGCAAATATGCACTTTTGACGATTTATCTAATTATAAATCTTGAAAATAATGAAATTTTATAATAAAATAATATAATAAATTTTTTAAGTAGATGTAAAAAAATTAACTTGCTAAGTGTGAAAGTCAAATCTGTCGCCGATATCAAGCAAATACCTGCCACTACAAACCATCTTTTTTAACACATATAGTGATGTCATTTTCAACCAATAGCGTGATTGTTAAAAAGGACATAGCGTGATTTTGCCATCTCTGAGTTTCGAGCATTTTATCCCAACCATCGCTGAGTTTCGAGCATTTTATCCCAACCATCGCTGAGTTTCGAGCATTTTATACTAATCATCGCTGAGTTTCGAGTGCTTTATCTCATAAGTCATCGCGGCCTATTCTGGTTTCGAAAATTCATATTTTCGATTGTTATTCTTATTTCAATTTTAAGTTTTTTTAATGTCAGTAACCCCCTTCCTTCTGGGTGTTCCGTAAATATCACCTTTAATATGTAGTTTAAGAGCTCCTGCAAAAACAAAATTAAAAATATTTAAATATTAGCTTATTATATTAAGAGGCATATTCAGGATTTTGAAAATAAAAAGTTAATTTTAAAAATTAAAATTTTAAAAAAGTAACTTGGGTTAGTTTTGAAATCAAATACATCAAATACAAATTTCACATATATTTTTTAATGTATGAGTGGAATAAAATGCTTATAAGTATTATAGTGCCGCTACTTTTTCCAATAAATAAAAAAGTGTCAAATACCAAATACAAATTTTAAAAATTTTCAATTACATGTAATGATTTAAATTCTCATACTCTGAAAAAATAAATATATAAATAAAAAAATAATACTTTTTTCTATCTGAAAGGAAATACCATATGTTCTCTCTCATTTCTTAAATGCATTTAGAATTCGATACTCATGCTTCAAATTAGCGCATTGAGAAAAATTCTAATCTTATTTCAAACAAAACTACTTGAATTTCGATCAATGCTTCGCTTAGAAATGTCATCAATCTAAATTAAAAATAAATTTCTCTAACAGTTGAAATTTATATTAATTTCCCTTAACCCTAAACATTTGCTTCGATGCTATATCAAACCATTTTAATAAAACTTAATATAAATTTATTGAAAATAAATATCGTATAGATAAATTTTGACACTAAATAAAATGTATTACAAGTACTATTAATACTTTCTAAATAAACCAGGCATATTATGTTTGCAACATACATGCATGTATTAGCAAAGAATGCACTTTTAGAATTTAAATTCTATAACTAGGTAAAATACATGGCAGCAGTGTATTCATCCATTTAACAGTAAAGCTTACGGATTGAAACATTTCTTTACCTTTCCGGGTGTGAAACCGTTTACAACAGGTATGGTTGAAAAACCATGAAAACAAAACTTTACGATTTTTAACCATTCCATCAGCATGGATTCAAGGCAATAAAATTGAAACTTAATTCGACATCGAAGTTAGGTTATGTTAGCCTTTACGTAAGGTAATCTAGATAAGAATTAAGACTAGATTAATTAAGTCGTGATATGCCAAGGGAAAAGTGGAATGTGACTTAATTAGTTTATGAGGCGGAGCCATCTATCCGCAGAGAGAGAAAATTCTATACTTTTTTTGAGTTAAACAGCTTGGCGATGCTGCCCTCTATACGTGAAAGGGAGTTTAATATTCCAGAAGTTCAGGATCACTAATTGAAGGATAAAGGACACTTGGAACTCTTCATGTGTTCAAGGAATGGGGAAAATATTGTGGTGTCAATGTTGGGATTCGAACCCGTTTTAACCGGTCATGAGATTAAAAGATTTGCCATCTCTGTCGAAGTACGTACAAGTGAGAGAGAACAAAAAGTGTTTACCAAACGCTTTTTATTATGAGATTATTAGGTATACCGCCCACCGGTCTGTGTAGGGGGTAGGGAACTTTCCTTGCGTCAGAAAGGTCCTGGGTTCGAATCCCGGTCAAGGCATGGATGTTTCTTTCTCTCTCTGTGTGCTCTATGTCCTTTCTCCTTTGCGTGTGTGAATGTGACCCGTCCTATAAACAGGATTGTGGTTGTGTGAATGGTGTGGCATAAGTCGAATTCTTGGTCATAGATGGCGCCTCTGAAAAACAAGAACAATCGCACCCCGTCTGCCTAAACAGGCATACGACAAAAAAAATAGGTAGACCCGCTTTTGTTAAGCATCCGCTGATGAGAAATAAAAATATGAATTCGTAATTATTTTCACATGGCGTAGCTTACGGCTTTCGAGGAACGATTCTCATTGGTTGCGAGTCTAGTTGGTGAGTATAAAAGTCTAGTTGTTTAATCGTATTGGGTGAAAGCAGTCAATAATTACTAAAAAAGAATTAAAGCTACAGCTTATTTTGTTGAAAAAGATTATACATATTAATGTAATTATAGCATGACACTATTATATAGAGTAAAAATATTAATTATTGACTTAAAATGAATATTTGTATTAGATATACAAATTACCACAATTAATCTGATATAACAATTATTATCATGTTTACTTAAAGTATTTCAAACCTTTGGTAAGTAGGAACTTATATTTACTTACTTATACAGTTTTTTAAATGCATACTAGAAATGAAACGAGGAAATAGGATTGAATTAGATGATAAACACAGTTAATTTTCTATTAATTACTATGAGCCGCCATCAATTCTATTAATTACAATTAGTTGTTCAGTGGCATGAAGAGAGGTGTCGGGACCCCAGGCGAAGGGAGCATATATTTG